TGAAATACGAGCCCACAGTGCAGCGGGGAGCGACTTCCGCTCCGTCAGCCAATAGCTGCTGAAATACCAGCCCACTGGGGTGTGGTATATTCCTCTTTTAAAAAGAGAAGCATATCCGGATCAGGCCCTCTTGGTTCCGGTGCTTGCTCCTGGCTCCTGCTCCCGGCTCCTGCGACTAGGCTCCCTTCCTGACGGTTTATGGTGTATGTAAGTTTTACCCCCCAAAATAAATAACCCCTTAAAACATAACTGGTGTGGGATTGATTCGCCGATACTTATTACATAGTACTAATTATTTACGAGAAATTATTATAGACCTAAACCTGATGTTTATAAGGCACACATAAGAATAATAGTTATTCATCCTCCGATTGAAAAAGATTTGATAGTGCTTACAAACTAAATAATACTTCAAAAAGGACAAGCATAGGACTTAGGCAGAGGATCTCTGAGAGCATATAAATAAGACCATGGGATGGGAAGTGTTTTTGTGGCGTTCCTTTAGCTTCTCAGAATATGAAAGATCCTTATGATTCCTACCCACATAACGCAATTTATAGGACAAGTTAGAAACACCACTATATCTAACCGATGTCACATACAGTAGCATTAAGTACCTTGAAGATCAGAGAACAAAACTGAAAGGCAAAGAGATAAAATAAGGAAACACTGGCACACAGCAACTGTACTTAAAGGAACTTCATTTCCTCAACTAAAATTTAACATGCATACTAGTCTCAGCTCAACAGGACTCACAGAGAAAGACAGCACAAAGAATAAAAAACAAACTGACCTTAAGTCATTAAAACTAACATCCTTAAGCTTCAGTAAACAAACTCTTAGATTAAATGACTCTCAAGGCGTGAAGAGAAAGTGAACTCTGGTCTAAAATGCTCTACAGCCTTCAGCTACAGGATAAGCAACTACTTCAAGTCCTTCATAATGCTACTAAAGCATGAACTCAAGATAAGGCTATGTTTAAACCCTCCCAAGTGATTCTAATACAGTATCAAGTCTGAAAACTACTCTAGTTGAAGAGATTAGGAACCAGATTCATCACAGGAAATTAAGTTACATTTCAGGGGAAAATGCCCCTACAGAATGCAAATTTTAAAAAAAACACACATATTTTAGAAACTTAAAACATCAATTGTCAGTCACTAGTGAAAAACTGAGAATGAAGATCAGGAATTAGACTCCAACCTAGGCTCCATGAGATCAGAGTGAGAGAAGGATGAAAGGAACTAGAAAAGAGAAAAAAATTGTTCTTATGGAGGAAGACTCCATGCCAAGAAGAGTTCTTCAGGTCTTCACAGAAATGAGTCAAACTTGATGCAAGAATGTTTTACAAACTGGACATGGTGGTGCACACCAGCAATTCCAGCATGAGGATGGAAGAAGCAGGGCCACAGCTGGAGGACAGGCAAGGCATGTGAGGATGCTTTAGAATTTTAATTAAAATTATATACTATATACAAATCACAGCACTGTTAAACAGAGTTTAAAATTCTGTTTAACCCTAGTTCATGATAGAAGTGGGTGCAGAGAGAAAGAGAACTATTTATTCTATACTCACTAAGACTTCATTTATAATTACAAACTTTCTTCGCACCAGAAGACAACTTCCCAATTTGGCCAACTCCTCAGTCCTGCGTATTTTCCCTACTTCAGATCAGTATTGTTTCTACTCAACTCCCTTCACATTATTCTTTATTAAACAGTATTCTAATTTTACACTCTTTTCCTAAGTTCCTTATTAAACAGTATTCTAATTTTACACTCTTTCCGAAGTAACTTCACTGGCTCTCTGACCATGACTACAAACTAAGTCCAGCATTAGTTTTATGTCTATCAGGCCTTACTCTTCCAAAGTACTCTACCCATTTTGATTTCCAAATGTTTTTTTTGTATACCCATATTACATTAAGACCTCTGTGCCAGGGGAGACAGAGGTAGGCAGTTCTCTATGAATGTGAGGCCAGCCTGGCCTACAAAGTGAGTTCCAGGACAGCCAGGGCTACACAGAAGGGAGGGGGCACCTCTCTCTGACCCTTAAGTGTTGCCTTCCAGGGTTCTGCACATGCTTCATTCTCCCTACTCATTTAGTACTTACGTTATTAGACTTTTACCCAAAGTTTTTTTCCCCAAAGTCTTTATCAAGCTACTTCATCATAACACAGATATTGGGCTATTTCCATGAGTACAGAATTAAGACATTTTACTATATCTAATTTTAATAATCTGATTTTAAGTTGCAAATCTCAGGTCTATCTTATTTTATAAATGTTTAAACTTACCCTATCTACCTAGTCCAAATTCTCCAGCCACTTAAAAATACCTTTGCAGCTATAGAATTAAATCCAAGTGGGCTGGGCATGGTAGCATATGCTTGTAATTCCAGCACTCCCAGCACTTGGGAGGCTGAGGTAGAAAGAGCTAAAGATCAAGACCAGTTTTGGTTACACGGTGAGTTCAGACTAGCCTAAACTATAGGAAGACTCTGACTCAAAAATAAAACTAACTGGACTGGAGAGATGGATCAATGGTTAAGAGTTCTTGCTCTTTCTTCAGAGGTTGCTAGTTCAGTTTCTAGCATGTCTGTCAGAGTGCTCACAACTGCCCGTAACTCTAACTCCAGGAGTTCTGACATGTGCACACACACACACATACAACTCATATATACAAATAAAAGTAAAAGCAAGTCTTTTGAAAAACAAAATAAAAATTAAAAACCTTAAAATGCAACAAGGAGAAACATAATCCATTAATAGCCCACAGTAGTTAAACCCCCAAAGCTCTCTCATATCCCACATTTCAATACTGAGACTAAGAGTTTAGTTCTCAAACCACACTATGAAAAAGGTAAGTACAATCAAACAAATTGAAATATTTATAGATGAGAAAGGCATTCTACCCTTTCTCTGATCATAAATTGTCTGGAATCAAGGTTGTAAATACACCTTTTCTGCCTGTTGAACAAAGGAAGGAGAATTGTCATTTCAAGGCCAGCCTATACTACTTAGAGTTCCAGTCTAGCTAGGGATTATAGGAAACTCTATATCAGAAAACAAAAGTTAAAAATACAAAATTATTGCAATGTTCCCAATACCCTGTTCCTAATAAAATGGTTGTCTTTAGTGGCATCCGACCAAAGGTTTCATTTTACTTCAAGCTAGACACTTGTCTCATTAGGACTTTCCAGAAAACAGAAATATAATTGGAGGGATTTTTTTTTGGGGGGGGGTGTTGTTATATTAAAAACCTGGTAAGAAAACTGAACACACTAAGGATCTCTCACCAGAAGGAAAAAAAAAAAAAAACCACAAAGCCCCCAAACCCATTTTCTATTTATTAATCAACACTCAGACTTTTCTACCTATATACTTAAGTAACTGGTACTTCTTGAGAAAAAGACTAAGTACTTTAAAAAGTTGTGAAAATGTTTGACTTTTGTCAAACTTTGTGATTAACTTTTGGTGCTATAAACGAACTTTTCTGGTCTTGAGTTAAGGGAATCTACCTTGTATCCTAACAGAACAAGAAGGAAGGCTCATAGTCTGCCTTCCTAGCTGAAGTAGGTAACCATATTCCACTGTTTAAAAAGTTGAGGAAGGGGAGGAACTCCCCCTTCATCAATACATCACTTTAGTGAAAGCTTGACTTTCTTCTCCGCAAACAAAGAGCTTAAGTTTAGTATAACTTTGGAGAAGACTTGGGTAACCAGGAGGAGAAAAAAACTCTAACTATAAAAGAAAATGCAAAGACCACTTACATATATTAAATTTTGCTGGGCAGTGGTGGTGCACGCCTTTTAATCCCAGCACCTGGTCGCAGAGGCAGGTAGATCTCTGTGAGGTCAAGGCCAACCTAGTCTACATAGTGAGTTCCAGGACAGGCTCCAAAGCTACAGAAAAACCCTGTCTTGAAAAACAAACAAACAAACAAACAAATAAATTTCAAGACTCTATTTAATCACAACTGCAAGTGAATTCTAACTATCCCACATGGGACATGTTTATGTCACTCTTGGAAATCTTCAATTTAATTTACAGGTGACAAAATTAAGCAGAATTTTTCATTGTTCAATTCAGGGCAGAGCAGGGATTCAAACTCATCTGATTCCATTAGAATGTTTTAAACCAATTATTACTTTTCCAAAGCTGAGAATACTCTTTAGCCATCAAATATTAGGCAAGACATATCTGTGTCAATAAATAAATAGACAAAATAATAAAGGGTCTATCACATAAACCAGGTTCTACAAACTCAGTGACTGTGGGCCAAACAAGTCTCTGGCCTGCTCTTAAGAGCTAAAAATGGTTTTTGCGTTTGCCAAAGACCTGGCAGTCAGTCACAGAGCCTCAAAACAGTTTTGTTTCTTTATTTAAAAAAAAAAAAAAGATGTATCAACCCTTGATCTAAACTACTGATGGAGGGGGAATTCGAATTCTCCTTCCCCACCTGTTTTAACTGCTGAATATGGTCACTGACTTAAGCCAGAATGACTTATCAGTCATTCTGTTTCTTTAAGAGTGGAAGGAGATTCCCTTAGCTCCAAGTCAGAAAACCTTCTAGCACCAAAAAAGAAAGGGAGGGACAAAAACAAACAGGTCTATCTCACCAGGAGGTGGCAACAGGTTCTTCCAGATGTAAGTTCTGCTTATAAACTCAAATGTTCTGAGAGCCACTAGAAAAAGCAGCCGCTTAACCTACCCACCTTGCAACACACAATGGAAATGGGGAAGGAGACTGAATGAACAGGTGACAAGAACTAAACACATTACCTTTAGTGAACAGACCTCCCAATTAGAAAAATAAGCCATTTCTAAAAGTACCTGGGTTAGTACTCAGAAGATTTAGGCAGGAAAAATCTCAGGTTTAAGGCCAGTCTGGGCTACAGAGAAAGGGCCTATCTCAGAAAGCTAAAAAGTGATTGGCTAACAGGAGAAGTGAAGAGGCAAGTGAAAACAACAATCTCACATTGTTCATTTGTTTCTACACTGCTACAGTCCAGGCCAGCCTGGCTTCAAACTTAAGAAAATCTCCCAGTCTGACTCTTAGCAGCTGAGATTGCAGGTATGTGCCGCTACACCCAGCTACTTCTACATTTAAGTTACTCCCTTTATCTGGTTGAACAAGACAGTAACTTTCTAGCTACACAACTTCAAGGTGGTATTTTTTAAGTTAAGTTAAAAGCAGAAAACTGTTAAAAAGTTTAGACATTTTCCAGAAGAGCTAACCTCTAACTAAGTCTAGCTAAGTCAAAACAGGAAATTAGAAGTCAAGTTAAACCAGGAATCAAAGGTACCGGGTGACTGACTGCACTAACTATTTGACCTGACATTTGCTGTCCTGCATCCACTAATAGTGCCAGCCTGCTTATTCTTATTCTAACCTTCTACTACACAACCAAAATTTGCCCAGAAGCCCTGGACACTTATTAAATGTTAGTATGAAACATGCCATGTCATGAAGCTCCTTTACTATATCCAGGATGACTCAGCAGCTGCAGCAAAACATCCAGTTGACAAGCTCTGCTAGTAGATGACACTAAGTCCCAGGTAAGACTAGTTACTTTAAGACAAACAAAAACTGAGATGTATTCTTTTATGTAACCCTGAATTGTTTGGTCATTTCTGCCAACATTAAATCTGCTAATCAATAATTAAATAGCTGGGGCTACACAGAGAGAAACCCTGTCTCCAAAAAAAAAAAAAAAAAAAAAGCTGAGGTGAGAAGCTAGTATTTTAGATGATGTAACTACTGAGCACTAAAACCATTCACCCTGAGACCTGGATCTGTTCTGAAACAACTCGGGTTTTAGTTGTTAGGTATCTTCTCTCCCAGATTAGATTTTTATCCAAGTACATTTTAAAATAAATTGTGGCCGTAACTTTGTCACTTAGAATATGTATCAGCTCCCTTATAAACTCTATCCAAGCCATCCATCTCTTTTTTTTCTTTTTTCTTTAATAGGCATTCGCTGGTGATTCGTTATTCTTAGGTGAAAAGTGTGCCTGTCTTAACCTCTACTGTAAAATATTAGGTGAAGTAAAATGGCCAGGCTTGTGACCTGGTTTTAATCTTAAAATCGGCTTGCAAATACTCCTGCTCCTTAGCATTCTGTACACATCTAGAGAAAATGGTAATAGTGCCAAGCCTCCCAACCAATGGAAAGTAACTTTTGGGTACATAATCAGTTTTTACTATTCAAAACTTTTTCTCAGATCTTTACTTTTTAAACTATCGAAAGTGATACAATATAACATTACCAAACAAAACGCTAAGAATTCAATTTCAGCACTTCCCAAAATAAAACAAAGTCTACATTTAACAGTATGCAACAAGTTATTAGGACTTCTTCAACAAGTCTAAAACGCACACTTCCTACTTTAGTTCACCGAGGTACTTTAAGTGGCTTTGTTTCAATAAGTTTTTAACACTCTTAACTCACAAGCAATTTTTAAACACTGAAATCTTTCTCAGAACCAAATATCTCATTTACAAGAGGAAGCAACTTTTTTAAATTATAAACATCCACAAAGGCATACGACGGCTTAACTATATAAGACCACTATGTGTGCCCAAAGTGCCTTAAACTACTAGAAAACGCCCAGTATTAAAAATATTTGGTGTATGAGATCAGAGCTGGAGAACTGGTTAAGCGTCCTGAGAATGGTTGATTCTGGCCTTCAAATTACAGAGCGGGGAGGAGAGGAGAGGAGAGGAGAGAGGAAGAATCGCGCAGCAGAGACCAGACGTAAGAATAGAGAGGGACTTTCAAAACGCCTCAGTGCCATAGTAACTATAACTTAACATAGGTTAAGAGTGGCAGAGGAGGAGAAGCTAAGGCAGCGTGTGCAGATCGGGGAAGGCCAACCCGGGAGATGAGCGGACCGGATAACCAGTAACGTCTCAATGCAGCTAAGACTGAATTAGTCCACGATGCGGGGAACAGCGCCCCCCTCCCCAAGTCCCTCTGGGCCGCAGCAGCAACTACCCTCGCCACGCACCCTCAACCCGCGAGCACCGGAAAGAAAAAGAAAAGAAATAAAGTCTGCTAGCCGATGGGCCTATTGCCACATCTCTTTCCCTTGTTCCTGTGCGAGGTCATGAGTAATCCCATCAAACCCCCAAAACCCGCCAAAAAAGAAACCCGAGTATCCAAAGCCTGGAATTTCTTTTCCCGCCCTGAGCCCGCCAGGGAAAGCCCCAGGGCGGGAGGGCTGGGAGAGGCCGCCCGCACCCCACGTGTGCGCCGCCAAGCCCGGCCAGGCTCTGCCCACTTCCCGTCGCCACCCCGGTCCTGCCTCAGGCCCTCTGGTCCCCTGGTCCGCTCCACGTGGGGAACCGGGGCCTCGCACCGTCCCCCCCCCCCACCCTTCACTGCGGCCGCCCGGAGCCGCCCAGTCCACCGCGGCGTGCGGGTCCCCGTACCTGGTGCTGGGGTCGCCCCTGCTGGTAAGGTTTCACCGGCCCCTGGTGGCAACGACGCGTCCGGATCTTGCCGCCGCCGCCGCCGCCCCCTCCGAT